CAGAGTGTTAGAGGCCAAATATCAACCTGTCAATACAACAATTAAATCCAGCAGCAGCGTGTCCTCTGTGTATAAGAGCCCAAATACAGCTGATTATATACATTAATGCGTGATTAAACAGTTAATACAGATGTTTGTTAAGCATCTGCCTGTTTAAAACTTTGGCGATTAATTGCACAGCCCAAAGCCAGAGGAGAAAGCATGCGACTGGAAATCATCCTGTCAGCCATTTCCTGTCACGCTGTCCTCTCTGTGGCTGTTTCTGTGGGGCAGTCGTGACTGCAGCAAACTGAGCTCTGCACTGCAGTTATCAGACACACGCTGTCATCCCCGAGCTTCAGCTACGCTCTGACGGGGACACCAGGACGGAGACGCTGCTGCTGAACCAAACCTCAGGACCATCCAACAGCCTCCCACGCTGATACACCTGGGTATGTTTATCCATTCGGGCCCAGCAGAGCTACGTGTTGGTACGTAAAGGAGGAGAAAGGACTCCTTTGTGTGGGCAGGAACGGGAACTCCATCAGGCTGCTCATGCATGTTTCCAAACTGTGATGACACACCAGCCTCATGTGGCTTGTAGGCGGATCATAGACACCACTGACTGGACCTCATGTCAGATAGGTGATATCCAGAGAACTACTGTAACATGGTGCAACATGAATGAAGAGATGCAGGAAAATTTGCTGAGCTGGTTGTTATGTAGAGAGGTGGGACAAGTCTCCTTCCTGTTTGAATTCAATTCAATTCAGTTTTATTTATACAGCACCAAATCACAACAACAGTCATCTCAAGGTGCTTTATACTGTAAGGTAGACCCTACTATAATACATACAGAGCAAAAGCCAACAATCCACATCTGCACCAAAGAGTAAAACAGTGAAATGTGGAATATTAAACATTAGGTCTCTCTCTTCTAAGCCTGTTAGTACATGAGTTAATAACTGATCAACAAATCGATTTACTCTGCCTTACAGAAACCTGGTTACAGCAGGATGATTATGTTAGCTTAAATGAATCAACACCCCCGAGTCACTAGCGATCAGAATCCTCGAAGCACAGATCGAGGGGGTGGCGTGGCACACCAGCCTACTAATCAACCAAAGACCCAGACAGACTTTTTTTCATTTTAAAAGTTTGATCTAAGCTCTGCTAATTCCTGATGTCATTCCAAATTCTTGTGCAGGACAAGCATTTGTTAATTGGCCATGGCCGCCGGCATGTTTCTGCTGCTGTTTGTGTAAAACATGTTTTTGAATCAAAAAGAATCATCTGATGTCAAAGTGCTTTAAATCTGCAGCCGCTTACTATGTAACTATGTAAACATGAACCGTGAGACAGAGGGGATTTGTGATTATCTCATTGTTGCTGGGATGGACTGGTAAACGGACTGGTTCTTATGTAAAACCCAACCTGCGCGCAAGCCTCCTGCACCACCGACTCTGGGTGGTATTGGATTGGGCTCACAGTAGAAAGATGAGTCGGACAGAGGTGCTCAATTTGTGGCTGTGACGGCCGTTTATTCAGACACCCTGACGTAAACCACCACATCTCTGCTACTGGCCCTTGCAAAGCAATCACAGTAACCACTCTGCTTAATTATTAAAAGTAAAACAAAAAAAACCAAATGTATAAAACATAGTCATGTAAACGAGGCCAGTTCCTGGGTGAAAGCTATTAGCAAAGTGTAGCTTAAAAGCTAATGCTTTGTCATGCATTACTTTGCATGCACACACAAGAACACAAACTCTTCGCATCCCATCAGCCGCCACATAAACATCTCATTAAACTCATTATCATTAGACTAAACTTAAAAAAACACTGAGCGGCAGCACGAACTATAAACAGGGGCCTGTTAACAGGGCATGCATAGCTCAACAGTAACACCCTCTGATTTATTTAGCATGTTCTGCTCCAAGCAGGTAGCATGGTCAGACATGCAGAAGAGTTTCCCACGAAAAGTAGGATAGTAGGATGTAAGTCCCCCCTTTAGGACATGCTACGTTTTAAATGTTGTCTCTAGCTACGTGCGTAAAACACGATTAGGTGGAGTGCAGTCGCTGCTACTGAATTCAAGATGGTGGGGGAACATGGTGGCATCCACAAACCGGCACCCACATGCATTTTAATAGATTCATTCCACGTTTGTGAGAATGCATCATTTTGCTGGAAGATTATTATAATTACACTATTACTGTACTATGATGTTTTCTATGAAATAAGCTCACAGAAGCGGCCGATGCAGATTTATGCACTTATTAATAAACAGAAGCGTGAGATCACCAGCATCCACTGTGGAAATGAAAACAGTGACAGCAAAGGGAGAACCACCGTGATCACAGCACAGGCTGTGGGCAACACTGCTGCTATAAATAGAGCCGGCTCCCTGCAGCTCTGCAGTCACCACAGCCCCCTAAGCCCCTCCCTCCGCCTGCGTCACAGCCCAGCGCTGCACGCTCCGCTGATCACCATCACCGTATACGGCAATCCTGCCAGCTCCCAGCATGCCTTTACGTCACAGCAGCTTACGTCATGCACAAGTGACGGCATCCTTCAGATTGTGCATCGATGCTATTATTAGAAAACTACAGCAAGCATGCGAGGAAGGCAGGGAGGGGCACGTGATGAATACAGCTCCTGCTTCACCCCCCCGCCCGACGGAGGCTCCAGCAGCCCTCAGCTTCCATTCTGCTGCTCACACACCAACACACACACATTCATATCTTAGTGAGGACATCTAATTGACATAATGCTAAATCTTGTTTTAACATATGGCATAGAAACTGAACATTTAACAAAAACCCTCTCCTGTCTGATCATTTCCTGATAACATTCAAATTTACAATAATTGATTACACAGCAGTGGAGAGTAGACTTTGTCAAAGTAGATGTCTTTCTGAAAACGCTGTAACTAAGTTTAAGAATATAATCCACCCTCTGTTATCATCTTCAATGCCCTGTACCAACATAGAGCAGAGCAGCTACCTGAACGCTACTCCAACAGAGGTCAATCATCTTGTTAATAATTTTACCTCCTCACTACGTACGACTCTGGACACTGTAGCTCCTGTGAAAAATAGAGCCTCACATCAGAAGTACTTGACTCTGTGGTATAATTCTCAAACACGTATCTTAAAGCAGATAACTCGTAAGCTGGAGAGAAAATGTCGTGTCACAAATTTAAAAGATCATCATTTAGCCTGGAGAAATAGTTTGTTGCTTTATAAGAAAGCCCTCCGCAAAGCCAGAACATCTTACTATTCGTCACTGATTGAAGAAAATAAGAACAACCCCAGGTTTCTCTTCAGCACTGTAGCCAGGCTGACAAAAAGTCAGAGCTCTATTGAGCCAACCATCCCTTTAACGTTAACTAGTAATGACTCCATGAACTTCTTTACAAATAACATTTTAACCTTTAGAGAAAAAATGACTTATAATCATCTCACAGATGTAATATTATCCACAACTACTTTCAGTACCATTGATATTCATTTAGACTTTTTCTCCAATTGATCTTTCTGAGTTAACTTCAATAATTACTTCCTCCAAACCATCAATGTGTCTTTTAGACCTCATTCCTACAAAACTGCTCAAAGAAGTCCTGCCATTAATTAATGCTTCTTAAATATGATCAACCTATCTCTAATAATCAGCTGTGTACCACAGGCCTTCAAGGTGGCTGTAGTTAAACCTTTACTTAAAAAGCCATCTCTAGACCTAGCAGTCTTAGCTAATTATAGGCCAATCTCCAACCTTCCTTTCATATCAAAAATCCTTGAAAGAGTAGTTGTCAAACAGCTAACTGATCATCTGCAGAGGAATGGCTTTACTTACTTACATACTTACAACTTACTCCCCAACACTGGTTATAGCGGTTTTACTTGCTACCATCTCACCTATTGCATGGTTCACTCAAACATACGTTCAATTTTAAAACAGTTTTCTCTTGGTTTTGAAGCTACTTCCTGACTCTGTAATGGTGAGTGCTGTGAGTGAAGCTTGGGTTTTCCAGCTGTTTGTAGGAGTCTCTCTCTGAGCGTCCTCATGTGAGGCCTGAGAGCTCTGCACAGTTCTCACGTGCACAGCTGTAACGTCACTGATTAGTTGTAGTTGAATCTGAAATCCAATCCTTACTCAGAGAGAGCATGTTCCTACACCTCAGACAGTTAAATAATTTCTCAGCTTTAGAGCAGCTGAGGCCATTACTGTGAAAGTGCATCGCTGCAGTAGTATCCACAGATAGGTATGATGTAGAACACAGCGCGTCCCTGTCCTGTCTGCCATACCTCCACCCAGTCACAACAGATGGCCGTCCCTCCCTGAACCTGGTCCTGCTGGAGGTTTCTTCCTGTTAAAAGGGAGTTTTTCCTCGTCAAGATCACCAGCTGCTCACAGATACAGGGTTGTCTGAATGATTGGGTTTCTCTGTGCCTCTGTGGGGGTCTTTACTTTTACAATATAAACATCCTGAGGCGACTGTTTTTGTGATGTGGTGCTATTTAAATAACACTGAATTGAGTTTGCAGGTAAAATACATTTTACCAAAAGATTCTCTACAATAGTGAGGAAAAATGCTGTTACGCAATAAAAGATGGGATTTAGTGGAGTATTTCACCAGCAAACCTCTGGAAACTTCTTGTGGTGGAGAATAAACTGGGTTTGAAGCATTTGTAAATCTCCTTGCTAAATTCTTTCCAGCCCACTAGAACAGTTTGATCCTCTGTTGTTGAGGCTGGCTTCAAACTGATGCATAAAAGCAGCAGGATGTTGGATTTTGTGGCCGATGTATGTTAGTCAGATGCTTGTTAGGTCACAATCCGTTAAGCTTGAAACGATGTAAAACATTTCCACTGATTCTCCTGGAAATGAAAAGAAAGTGTGCTCGAGGCCCAAGAAAGAAACTAGTGAGCAGGCAGACATATACATTCTAGTACAAAGTCATCTACACACATACACCCTGAAACACACACACATGCACATACACGCTGACACAGCTGTCATTCAGTAGGGAAATAGTCAGAAATCTTTACTAATGTTTGCAAACAAGCTGTTTCTCTTTTCTTCATTACAAAGTGAGCGTCTTTGGTGTGTGTGTGTGTGTGTGTGTGTGTGTGTGTGTGTGTGTGTGTGTGTGTGTTGTGTGTGTGTGTGTGAGCAGTCAGTGCGCAGACACAGAAGTGATGCATGTTACATCCTGAACATGAATGCGACACAGGTGAGTGAGGGACGACTGAAAGGCTCCCATCACTGCGTCAGCTACAGGAAATGATGCAAAGAAAAGGCAGCAGCTTCTATTTTACAACCTTCTAACGAATCACAGAGTTCTTATTGTGACTCTCTGACAGTGTGCACATGACCTGGGACACATTGTCAAAGCAAAATAATACAGAAATGGTTTCTGACATTTGATTCATGGAAATATTGTTGTCACAGTCTTCGAGAGTATCCTGCGATATTGGGCTCAGCTTAAGGGCCTTGCACTGTGATCCTGCACTAAACTGACGGTAAATGTAAAAAACTGTGATTCCCACAAACAAATGAATGCAACAGGAAGCACAGAAGAGCGAATGAGACACATTTACAGCAGACCAAGGACATTTATGAAGCGGCAGCTGCAGGAAACAAGTGTCCAAAGCAGGAAACGACCTCCCAGCGAAGTGGGTTCCTCAGGTGCGGCATGTTGAGCCAACCCGGCAGGGTACCATGAGCAGCTCTAGCTGAGAATGCACGTCTTTGACTGAGACTGGGCCGCGCTCGCTGCAGCAGGAAGGAAAGGAGAGAAGTTCAGTGTTCAGTCAGAGTTTGGAAAGCTGTGACGCCTGACCGCCTCCTACCTTGTCTGGCTGCCGCAGCTTTCTCAGCCTCCTCCTCCTTGGCTTTCTTAGCCGCCTCGATGGCAGCGACCTTGGCATCGTGCTCCTCCTTCAGGGCATTCCACTCCTTCCTGTTGTTCATCAGCCGGTCCAGCATCGGGGTGATCTCCACGTGGAAGCGACTGAACTCCTGGGGCGACACAATTCAGACGCATCAGCGTTGCTCAATCCAAACCGCGAACGCTTCTTAAATGACACAGAGAGCCAGAGCGGCTCATGGGCCATATGCCGCTGCTCCACGCTTGCAGATGTTTATCTGAGTGGAAGCAGCAGCTGTGGGTGTCTGAGTGGGTGAGCTCTCACCTTGTACACAAAGGCGCAGACAAAGTCGATGAAGCCACACTGCAGCTTCGGAAGTTCCTCCGCTTTGTTCCTGTCCATCATGGGCTGAAAGAGAGAGAGAGAGAGAGAGAGAGAGCTTATGGCCTCATCATCACTGTGGCCTCACACACCTGTGAGACTCCTACTACAACGTTTATCCACCTGCTGAACTCTCAGCGGTCAGCTCCTCACGTTTTCCTCTTTAATGACTGCTGAGTTACTGCACAGTCCTCAAACCATGTACAAAGCCCTGACTGTGGGCTGAACTGGAGACCAAGGTCTTGGATGCTTAGTATTTAAAAATACATTTAATAAAGGGCTAATTATACAAACATGAAATGATGCAAGCTTCTTTCAAACAGGCATCACCTTTAAAACAGAAGCTGCTACATTCAAACGTCATTTTGAGGAAACGCTGAGGCGAGCCCTGAAAAGGTCACGATGGCTGCTGGAAAAGCCTCTGCAGAGTCCTGTCAGACCACAGTGAGTCACATGACCTCTGTGGCACAGGAAGCTCTCCCTGCTGACACTGCTTAAGATTAACTCAGAGCACCGCCAGGTAAGCGTGGAGGGCGGTGCTTCAGGTGTCTGAAGGGCACGAGAGAGCAAGGCAGGGGAGAACAGGAAGGTCGGAAAGGATTTGGTCAGACACAGTCACGGCTCTCTCTGTATCAGCGCTCCACACGATGGCTCAGCACCGCCAGTCTGTCCTTTCATATTTTCTCCCCATCACTAATGAAACCCCGTGGATTCGGTCCACCAAGTCCTCCCCAACTCCAACTTCAGAATAAACACATGGAAATAACTGAGTGGAAATGTGTTTGGAACATTTCACTGTTCATCCAAATGAGTCTTACTTTAAACTCCAGAACAATCGAGTGAAGGTGGGGAGGTCCAAAGCCCTGATGTGAGAGGAGATCCAATCCCTCCACTGGAGCATTCAGGCACCATGTTTGCCGTACATTTGAGGAACCGCGTACCTTCTTTCCTTTTATTCTAAATATTATTTTTTCTCACATTTCTGACAGGGAACAACAAAAACCCCACAGCTGTTTCTGTCTGTGACTGTGTCTGTGGGCTGTGGTTAGTTTAGAGTGAGGACAGCAGAAGCTGCAAACATCTGAGCTCTTACGATAGGCTGCTGCTCGAGGACCGTCCTCTCCAAGTCTCCCTGCTCCCAGAACTCTGCAGCGACAGACAGCGCCACCTGGAGGAGGAACCAGACAGGTCGGGTCAGAGCTGCTGCTTTGAAGGAGAACACACACACACACACACACACACACACACACACACACACACACACACACATGCTGGGACTGGAGGAAGGACAGCTGCTGCAGTTTACCCCGGAGCTGATAGGAGGAAACATTTGATGGAGCAGGAAATGATCCTTTGTGTTTCACATCGGCCGCTAAATCTGAATCAGACTGCTACAGTGTCAGGCTGTGTCTCAGAGAGATGGAGGAGCACTGATGAATAATATGGAAATTCAGTATTCAGAAGCGAGTTAGTCATCGAGCCAGTTTTGGGGAACAATTGTGGCGAAGCGAGCAAAGCCTGTAGACACAATCTGTGTGCGTGGGAAGCAGAGCGGAGTGAAACGTGGGAATTATCAGCCATAAAAATGTCAGCAGAATCTCACAGAGAATCAAGAAGCTTTTGTCTGTGAAAAATCTGAGCGAGAGGCGTCCATCACTATCTATCTGCACTGGATTATCTGTTTAAATCACAAAGCAGGCTAAGAGAGTAACCAGGGTTAAATTACAGCGGGGTATCGAGTGTCTGCACGCCTCGTCGTCATCGTCACGGATGTTTCCGTATGACAGGTGCTCAGCTCTGAGGGTAGATTCAGGTGATGGAGCATCAGAACACACTGGGATCATCCTCAGTGCCAGCTCTCACTGTGTCAGGATTTTTAAATAGCAGAAGGCTCTCAGGATCAGCGGGATGTTCCCCTCTAAAGGTCAGACGCTTGGTAAAAAGGGACATTCCAGAGAGTGTCTGCTGATCCCGAGACCTCTGAGATCTGGACCCTGATTCTCATACGATCGGTTCGGTCTGCTGCACAGAACATGAACACCACCCACGAGCACGTTTCGCAACACGAGCTGCATTAAGAATGTGACAGAAGAATCGAACCTGTTCTGAGCAGACGCCACATGGGCATTTACCCAGAATGCACTTCTACTGCTCCTCCAAGTCACAGACATCAAACTGCTGCAGTTCATCCCATCACTGATGCTCACAGAAACCAGGTTTAGTCTTTAGACTGTGCAGTACTTAGAAAGTTTGGCCCCGCCCCCTGCACGTCCACCTGAGCAGGAACGTTTCAATTAAAGTGTGTTTGTTTGGATTAGCTGATCTAAATAATTAATACGGCTCATCCATGCAGTAAATCACCTGGAGGAGAGCCTGACAGCGTAAACACGACTCCACCTGCCACCTCAGAGAAGTCCTGGGGGGTCCCCGCTGGGAGCCACCGTCCCAGAAACTAAATGCATTATTAGTCCTGCTTTCTGTCAGTTCGTGCTGATATTACATCCTTTACAGAAATGCTGAGCCTGCCAGGCGCGCCAAGCGAGCGAGAAGCAGCGGGTTGCTTTTGATGCACGAGGCCGTCAGGAACTGACACCGAACGCTGCCTGGAAAAATGGCTGCGCTGACAAAACATCTCTCTACATCTACTTCATCATGGCGTGCCTCTCGCAGAGTGTGTGTGAGTGTATGTCGGGTTACAGCAGAGGGCCCGTTTTACAACCAGAACTGAGACACTCGGGGGGCCTACCTTACTCTGGATCTCCCACGGTTTGGCAATGGCGGACAGGTCACAGGCTGTCATCATCATCGCCCTGCAAGCACAGCACGTGGATGGGTCAGAGCTGCGTGTCTGGGTCTCCTTGCTCGCCTGAGTGTGTGTGTGTGTGTGTGTGTGTGTGTGTGTGTGTGCTTCTGCATACATGACGATCTCTTTGCGTGTAGTCTCCAGCATCATGTATTTGGTCCAGTCGTTCCAGTTCTCGTAGGTCTTGGACTGGTCTACAATCTTCTGGAACATGGTCCTCTTCCTGCACAGAGACAGACATTCCAGTCAGCTCACAGGAACCATTCCGCTGTTATTGCAGTTATTCCAAAGCCTGGAGAAAGTGAATTAAGTCATTCTGTGGTCCCCTGCTGAATGTGGAAGTTTGCTCACTTACAAAGAAATAATCAGTCTCTAATTTTTATGGTAGTTTCATTTTAAATGAGAGCGACAGAGCATCAACCAAAAACCCAGAAAATTCATTATATAAACTGATTTTCATAAGAATTTGGTCCAAGCAATTCTGGCTCCCACAGACAGGCTCTGTACCCGTGTCACATGCACTACATGATTATAATCAATCAGTCGGGTACTCCTGATCTCAGCTCATTGTGTGAACAAAGCACAGCTGAAAGCTGAAGCTAAGCTCCATGCAGGATCTCGCTTCATGGGGTGAGGATCATGAGAAAGGAGGTGGGTGGAGCTAGTTAATGATCTGAAGGCAGGCGGTTCCACAGGTATGTCTGAGATCTGCAGGGAACATCATAGAAGGCTTGGTGCTGATCAGATGAAGCCACAATTTAGCTCCTTGGCAACAACTCAACCCACTGTGGTTGGAGGAAGAGAATTCATAAACATTAGAGACTGTCTGAATTCAGCAGGGATCAGGTAACTATCCCCCTGCTGTAGGTCAGGTTACTGAAGCCTTCACATTCCAAAGGTAATGTTGTGGAATGATGCTGCTAGCGTACTGACTTGAAGTACAGAGCCAGATCAGTGGCGATGATGGCGATGTCCATAAGGTGGATGACAAGGTCGTGCTGACGGCGGTTCAGATTCTGATAAATGTTCAGCGCCTGAAGCAGAAGAAAAAAAAAAAGACACTTTGAACAACAAGAAAGGATCCAAAGGTTGAGGTTCCTGCACCTGAGACTCGAAGAGCTCAAAGATGCCTCCTCTGATGAAGCAGAGGTAACGCTCAAACATCTCAGCCCCACTGCTGAAGATGTGATGGCAATCAAATCATCACTGCACACGAACAAAGCTTCACATCTTCATATTTAACGTGTGTGTATATACCTCATCTCTCAGCAAAGTCTTTCCAAACTCCAGATGGTGTCTTTCCAAGATGGAGGAGCCGTGAAGCTTCGCCAGAGGATTACCAGACCTGGACACAAAAACACACACACATGCACAATGGGAGGTTAGACTGTGATAAATCATGCATGTTGAGCCCAGGGTGGGCCTGGCTGCCTGTGTCCACTGCTAATGGTGGCTTTCATTAGCTCATCCATCAGCGGGAGGAGCAGAGCAGCTGGAGGCGTAGCTCGTCAATATCGACTCGTTGATATTCTCCGTGTGTGACGCTGACTTCACTTAAAGAGCTGAGGTCAGCTCGGTGGCTCACGGGACAAGCGACTGTCGCTCGGAGTTGATAAACGCTCCTCAGAGTAAACAAAGGTCTGATTTCCAGAAAGTTTCAAAGAACGTGACTGATGCTCTTCAGAAAATCAGGACACGCCGCTCACAAAGGTGACACCTGCTCACTATTCAGGGTTCCCACTGCTGCCCCTGCACTTTGGCATCCTTACACGAGCAATGTGCAAGTACAGAGGGTCGCAGCAGTCTCACCTTCTCACCAAGACACAGATAAGTTGTAGCCACATGTATCAGCGTGGTGTTTGTTCTTAAAAAGGCAAACTTTGATTTAGCTGTAAGTTTATATGGGCAGTGTTTTTCAATGTTAGGGTCTGCGTGTGACACCAGCCTTCAAAAACCTGTGGAGCAGCTTCAGAAGAATGTTCCTCACTGTGAATCATCTACAGAACATCATACCATCAACATACTCAACAGCTGGAGGAATCTCTGTGCGCAGGCTGATAAGGATAGATCAGGAACACTTCCAGCATCTGTGAGTGGCTTGGCTACAGCTCAGTCATGGAGGGTAAGACGGCACGTGTGACTACGATGGAGAAATGTGCTCCTTTAAAATTGATCTCAGGTCAGACCCAAACACGGATCCTCATGAAGAGGAACGGGAGCTTCCGGCTCGTTATCTGCAGTTATCGGGCTTGCAGACCATCACAGACTCATGAACTGTCCAACTTTTACAGACACGTCACTACCTCCAAATTTTTCTGTTAAAAGGGAGTATTTCCTTCCCACTGTCGCCAAAGTGTTTGTTCATAGGAGGTCATATGATTGTTGGTTTTTTCTCTGTATGTATTATTGTAGGGTCTACCTTACAATATAAAGCGCCTTGATCTGGCGCTGTATAAATAAAACTAAACTGAATCAAATTCATAACGATGTCGTCATGTTTTTCTTATAGTGTTTGATTTGAACATTTGATTGTTTTCTACGTCACAGCATCCTGACTTTTTGTAATTGTGGTTGTAGTTTTCTTTTAGTGGCTTATGTTTCATTAAGATTTGTTAATAAATGCCATATTTTCTGCACATGCTCCTGTCAGAAGATCTGCTTCTTAAACCAAACAGTAAAAGCTGCCTTCGTGCAGGGCCTCGAGTAGAAATCAGTGTTTGATTTGATCAAATCGAGCCAACAGACTGTACAGAAAATATGGATGTAATTTTAAGCCCTAAACATTGTTTCTTTGTAATGACCAGCAGAGGGAGATTCCTCTGTGAGAAAATAAGGCTCCTGCTTGGCTGCTCTCTGAGCTCAGGAAACAGTCTCAGATGTTTTTAAGTCTTCTTTAATATAACATGATTTTGTTCTGCAAATGACGGAAAACAAGCTAAATGCTCCACTGGTGGCTACACCCATCTCATATATGCAGCATGCATGCCAAACACCCCCACCCCTGCCTTCTTACTTCATCTGGTATAGGTTGTTGGTTCCTCTGTGGTCGATATCGTGACAGAAGCCGGCGGTTACCATGGCCATGCACTCCAGGTCTGTGTAGTAACGCTTCAGATCACCTGTCTGAGAGTGTCAGTCACACAGAGCGGATGTTTATTCATGGAGTCGGCGTGCAGGTGTGCACATGCACACAGACACACACACAGATATGCACACACAGGGATTTACACCGATCCACACCCAGAATCATTGCATGTGTCTGCGCTATATGAATATAAAGTATGACTCTGAGTGGTTTTCTTAATAACGACCACTTCAGGCATACTCCATTATCTCTGCCACAAACACACAAACATGCACGGCCACATGTACAGTGCGCTCCACATGATAATGAGCAAAATAATGAGATGAGAGAAGAAGAAGGAAAGGATGTTCATCACCTTGACTGAGAGAATGAAGAAGAAGAAGAACGGGGTGAGCAGAGGGGTGGGGCTGAGGGATACTGAGTGTGTGTGTGTGTGTGTGTGTGTGTGCGCGCGCGTGTGTGAGACCATCAGCAGGGTGAACATTGTCTGTCCAACGTTGAATCCGTGCCTCCAGTTGTGGTAGGTGATCTTCCTGTAGCCTTTACTCAGGGAGTACATGAACCTCACCAGGACCTGCAGAGGAAGCACAGCATGAGGTCCAGAGGTATTAATAACAATCCTTACATTTGAAATGATGCTAGTTTATCTAGTAGTCTTTCACTTTTAACCAATAAAAAGTGTAAGTGTGTGCATGGAAATGTCTATTCTTAAACAGTTCATGCTAAACTTCATTTAAAGCCCCTGAATTGACGTGCTGTGTGAACATTAGCCATCTAATATTTCGTCATCTCTTATAATTTGATATCCCAAAATGCTCCTGGCGAGTATTGTGGTGATGACTTTAAACCATGTGCACGTCCAGCTGTTGCTGAGACAGAGTTCACATCACGTCTGTTGTCATAAAATCTTTTGAACGCCCGGTGTTAGCCTATCTGAAGGACATTACAGGCCACCAGTTGGATCACCTGCAGTTTGCCTAACAGGTCGGTGGATGATGCAGTGAACATGGGACTGTATTACATCCTGCAACATCTCGACCACCCGGGAACTTATGCCAGGGCCCTGTTTGTGGACTTTAGTTTGGCTTTTAATACCATTGTGCCTGAACTTCTCTCCTCCAAACTTTCCCAGCTCAGCGTGTCACCAGCTACCTGTCAGTGGATCACCAGCTTCCTGACAGACAGGAAGCAGCAAGTGAGGCTTGGGGGAGATCACCTCTGAAACTCGGTCCCTCAGTATTGGTGCCCCTCAAAGATCTGTCCTCTCACCACTATTGTTCTCTCTCTACACCAATGACTGCACCTCCAAGAACTCGGCCGGTAAACTCCTAAACATAAACTCCTGACACCACCATCATTGGCCTCATTCAGAATGGTGATGAGTCTGCATACCGGCAGGACGTTGAGCAGCTGGTACTCTGGTGCAGTCAGCACAATCTGGAGCTGAACACGCTTAAGACTGTAGAGATGACAGTGGACTTCAGGAGACATTCCTCAACACTGCTCCCCCTCACCATATCAGACAGCCCGGTGTCTACTGTGGAGATCTTCAAGTTCCTGGGTACCACCATCTCCCAGGACCTAAAGTGGGAGACCAACATCTCCTCCATCCTCAAAAAGACCCAGCAGAGGATGTACTTGTTGAGACAACTGGGGAAGTGCAGTCTTCCACAGGAGCTGCTGATCTAGTTCTACACTGCAGTCACTAAGTCTGTCCCGTGCTCCTCCATCACAGTCTGGTATTGTGCAGCCACTAAACAGGACAGGAGCAGACTGAAGCAGACTGTACGGGGAGCAGAAAAGATCACTGGCGCCCCCCTGCCCTCCATCCAGGACCTGCACCTCTCAAGAACCAGGAAACGGGCAGGGAAAATCATCACAGACCCCTCACACCCTGGACACAGACTTTTTGACCTGCTGCCCTCTGGCAGACGGTATAGAAGCCTGCAGACCAGGATGGGGCTTGCCAGCATGGCCTCAGAGCTAACAGCTGTAACTACGCTGGTGTTGAGAGCAGGTGACTGCTGTTTCATCACAACCAGCGCTCTGTTTCCTTTGTGCAGGTGTACTGAAGCAGCCCTTTAATCCACTGGGGAAACCCCAGCGCAAAGGCCCTGAACCAGGCTGCTCCATGTTCACTCACACCTGCAGGTAGGAAGATAGCCAAGAGTACCAGGGGCACGTACACCCCTCCACCGATTGATGGAGGTCAGCTGCAAACTTTTCTCTTCCCTAAATGACACTTTACCGTATTCTTAGTTATATGTATGCACTTAAAGCCACGGATGGGGGCACACTGACCTCTCTGGGAATGTGAAACTTGTCCACCACTTTGAGTTCGTAGTACATCTTGACGCCACACTTCACCAGGTCCAGTTCGCTGTGTTCAAAGTCACAGAAGTGAAACTCGAAGATCTCGGCTTTCTTGGAGTTCGGCAGCACCTCGGACTGTCAAGGAAAACAAGAACAATGCATCAGATTAATGTGGGAATATTTTATTTGGTCATGACCCGGAGCTCCGCGTGGATTAGGAATAATAAAAATCATCCGAACAAACAGCTCCCTTCTCATCCTGCCCTGTTTTTCTTTTTGTGTGCTGATGGGAGTGTTTGGTATTTTTACCAGGATCTCCTGAAGCTCCTCCTCCTCGCACTCGTCCGGTTCCTTCCCCCACCTCTCTCTGGTGTTCTGCAGACAAACACACATCGTCAACAGTCACCTTGGATAAAATGGTTTGGCATCCATCAACTGACACCTGATCTGAGGTCAGAGCAGGTTGTCTCTCTGACAAATCACCTCATAGAAAACCTGACAGCTTATTCCAGCTTACAGATGATGCTCAGCTCCTGCTCCTGTCATCCACATCCACCAACAAAGCTTCAGAGAGACAGCTTTTAGCACGAATACTCAAACAATAAAAGACAGACATAAAAGAGAGCGCTTCATCTCCATGTGATTAGAATCACATTTATCCAAAAAAGTGCTGTAATTCAACGACTCTTCAAGTCTTCCACTAAAGATGTTCACTTACTGAAAGTTTCATTAATCAGAGCCAAAGAGATTAGTTTCAGAGGCCATCCTCATCTCTGAGGTGCTCCTGCCTGAAACAGGAGGAACGAAACTTGAGTGTGGAGACACAGACTCACTCACCAGGACGTTTTGGATTTCATCTTTGCGACACTTGACATGGTAGAGCACCATGTCCTGGTAGATGTCCTTCCTGTTTTCCAGTTTGTTCATCTTATCGTAGGTGTCGGTGTTGAGCACCGACCAGCCCAGGAACTGAGTCAGAGACTGGGAGAGAAAACACTGGAGCTTCATTCACCTCACAATCAGCGTACAATTAAACAGTATGTGTTATTGCGATATAGTCTAGTGGGTAAAGGTTTGTTGTGTGTCGTGTGTAGTCCTGTATATATCTGCAGCCTCAGTCAGCTTTAAATTTACAGCAGCCGGCACCACAGGACGCTCCCTACTGTAGGGTACAGTTCATTTAGTGATAAAATCAGGGCAACAATATTAAGAGCAGAGGTTTGTTGATGAGCTGAGGGTGTTTTGTGTTGCAGTGAGGTAGCCACAGAGACATCAGTAAAAGCCTCCAGGCCTGATTATAAATAATGCAGACGCTCTGAATGGCCTGCAGTGTATTTATAGTAAACCAGTGACACACACACACACACACACACACACACTGTACCTCCATCAGGGTTTCATCCATCTCATCAAAAGGTTTCCCATCCTTCCTGTTATAGAATGTGGCCACACCCACAATCTCTTCCTTCTTGTTGACGATGGGCATGGACAGAACGTTCTTAATGGTCCAACCAGAGTCGTCCAGCGGCTCCGTCTGAACATGAAAACACCCTGAGTTTAATTAGCGATGACAGGACGGCCTGCGTGCCCACTCTGAGCTGGTCTTATAAAGGAAAGAGTTATTTATTTTCTGTAATAATCTTTTTGTCCTACAGACCGTCTCACAGTAACCATGTCAGGCAGTCTGCCTCCATCAGTCAGCAGACATCTGAGATGTTCAAATGACTGACTGCAGCTTTAAGCCAGTGTAACAGGCCCCACACTGTCAGCAGACCTGAAGCACGATCGTGTGTGAGCTCGGACAACAGTACCCATCGCAGTAGAACGATTAGAATAAATGCACTCGGAGCTTAACAGCCCTCAGGAACATCATTTAAAGTAAGGAGAGCAGAGAATGTTGGAAATGTCACCGATTTATATGTTCATGATTAGTCTCTGGTGTACTGTTATAGTACAGGACAGACCACTGTAGTGCCAAGGTACGTCCTTCGAGCTGGCTCGCACAGTGCAATCAAATTCCAGCATCTTCTTCTACTGAACATCTGATTACAGATGACAAGCCAAAGCGCTCTCACCGAACCCTCAAACAGGAAGCTAAAACCTACTTTTTCCTTACTGAAAGATTTCAAACATAATTATGGTCATGTTATAATCTAAGATAATACTGTGGATGATCACTTTAGTCTGGAGTCAGTAATAACTGACAGCAGGTCAGTGCTGAAGTCATTCAGTAACATCTTTGTGTTTTATGAAGCATCCCTGGAATGAAAGGTGGCGTACAGCTTACCTGAAAGCTGAAAAACTCGTCCTCAGCTGCGTTCATTATGTTACAAATCTGTGGGAAAAGGAAGTAAAAAGTTGAGCATGTGAGGGGGAGAAGCTTCAAGTGTTAGCAAAAGACTTCTGAATCATCTGGAAGCTTCAGAAGCAGAAATATCGATGAGAATGAGGAGAAATGAGCAGAAGGTGGGATGAACGTGCTCTGGCTCTGTGGAAGAAAGAACCACATGTTCAGGTGCCCCCCCCCACCATATCCAAAACCATCACCGTCAGGCTCTCAGCTTTTTCTCTCAATCATGGAAACGTAACTCTGCAGAGGAATAAAGTTTTCACCTTGTACATAAAGCAGAAGGGGAAATATGAAGCGGGAGAGATGATGTAGGCGTGACAGATGATGAGGAGCAAAGACGACGGGAGGACGGGACAGGAGGAGGACAGACGAGGAGGAGGAGGATTAGACAGACGAGCGGCGGCAGCGGGCTCGGCGGTTTGGGAAACACTTGCCGTGATTAATTACAACGGTTGCAGAAATTACAATTATACATCACAGCAGCGTGTGGCTGAGCACTTTTCATTTCCACAGCGGCATGCACGCTGACAACTGTGTAATAACTCTGAAGGCACTCTGCTCATCGACCCACCCGCACACTGCAGCGAACATGAGTGGAAATCAGATTTTTAAAGGACAATGATCTAAAGTTTTCACTGTCTGCACATCAGTGACAATGATTTAAGACTTTATTGTTTAAGGAGTTATTAACGTGGTTCTGACCAAGAACACAAAGTACAGTAAAATTACAAGATTACTGGGAGCTGACGTTTCTCATAAGAGACAAAGGAAGAAGGGCATGTTTGTTTTTTTACACAGAAAAGCTGATCAGGAATATTTTATGCAGTAATATGACACAAACTTTAAACACAATTATTGCCAAAAATATTTAGATGGTTCACTTCAGGCTCCAGATCATTAACCTGTGTTTTTTCTAATGATCAGCAGGGGGCAGCAATTCAGGCTGTAAAAAACAGTCTATGAGAAGCTAAACTTGCTAAACACTTGATTTACAGCTTTGCTGACCAGTGTATGGGCTCCAGTCATGTCTTACTTAAGAAGATCTGATGCTTACTTTGTAAACGGGAGTAAAATAGACGATAAAGTAGGAAAGCTTTACGGTTGAGATGACAGCGACCTCAGTTTCTCGGTCAGATCATCACTTCTGGTTTTAAAAGTATTAAAATGCTAACTTGGAGCTTCTGAATGAATTCTCGTGGGGTAAGAACAGCAGAAACATTGGAAATTGATTATCTTGTGACAGTTAATGTGAGCTCGTAGGAATAACATATACTGACCAGCCCAGTTTCTGCTACATAGGTGGGTAAACCGCTGACCAGGGCCCAGTGATCTGCTGGAGGACCCCTGGAAATGAAGACATGCCACACAGAAGGTTAAAATGCCACAATCACCTTTAATAAAAGCGAACAAAGTGTACATTTCAGTGGTAATACTCAGTTTACTGTATCATTGTTAAGCAAATGTCATGTAAAACGAGCTCAGGTCAAATAACGTCTGTACAGCCTTCGGTTTGCACTGTGGTGAAGTTACTGTGAGCTGCATTGTTTGCACAGCGGTTATTAATGTTTACAGAGCAGGGTGGGATCACGGAAATCATAGCCTTATATGGCTGAAGGGAAAATATATCAGTGGCGCTGTGAGACTTGGCTGTGAGGCTTCGCAGAGCTCCCGAATCTGTCTTTTACCCTCAGGTAAAATCTTTATTTTTCTCCCACATAGAACGTTATTACTATTAAAATCAGCGTTCTCAAATGTATTCTTGCTTCATTTAATTTAGTGCGTTTAACTTCACTTGTTTTATATATTAACTTACTTGTATTGAGTCACCTGTGCTCTCTCAGACAGACTCGCCAGGCTGTTCATGTTTATCATTATACTGTCGTCACTCTTCCACGTGTTGTGTTCAGATTGTGATTCCTGTGGATGTGTTTTTTAGGACACATCAGGACTCCAAGTATTTCCGTTTGAATTAAGCCACTCTTCCTTCAGTGCAGGGGTCACGTGATTGTGACCCTTGCACTGCTCTTATACACAACCATATCATCTATGTTAAGAGATCCCTGCATCCGTGCTCAGATTTCCTTCCTTGCAGACACATAAGTGTGACCCGACGTAATTCTAGTGGTCAAATCTCTGCAGCGGCACTAATATCTGCTAATGTCACATCTGCTGAGACTTACGGTATGACTTTGATGTCCTCTTTGCCATGGAGGATGTAGTCAATCACTTTGTAGAAGATGATTTCCTTGAGAGGTCAAATAAGATCACAGTTAGTTTGCTGAAACTCTCTGCACAGACTCAGGTGTGAAATCAGGTGTAAACTCCACACACAGATATAAAAAAAACAACAACAACACTGTGTGCCCACTGTGTGTGAATCCTGATAAACTAGAGCCATATAGGGGAAAGAGATTAGAGGAGAAAGACTTTGATAGGGCTGGAAGCATGATTTCACTCAGCGTGTGTCACAGAAATGAGCTTCTGATTGGCCTGCTGATGGAGATACAGGAAGCTGGCACGTTTTAACCTGCTGGAGGTGCTACAGTCACTGTGATTGGAAGCACTGAGTAACAGATGAATGCCACATGGACTTGGATCTCAGAGTTTGGTCAGGACCTCCTCACCCTGCCATCAGGAGTTTTGGGTCCATCATAAGGAGGAACCTCTCCCATCAAAACAGGCCACAAGTCAAAGAACTCCTGCACACATAACAGAGACACAGAGAGAAAAAGGCAGATTTAGAGGAGAGAAACATTAGTGTTATTTAACGTTATTCTGGGAAGATGTGGTGCTTTTGTTCAGTCTTCAGAACACGCCCAATTTCACAGATCACAGCGCAGCTTCTACTGCTGTTTGTTATTAAGTGTGTTATTCATGAAATCCAGTATTGTAAGCAGACGGCCATCTGTACAGACACACAACATGTGTTTGTTCTCTGAGAGCAGGTGCTGGGAATCAACTGGCAGCTGCTTGTAATTAGGTGGCAGCCACAGCCAGTAAGTAGTATTTATGGCACCGTGTTAGTTATTACAAATACATGGAGAAGCTAAGAAGATACTTTAAATATACTTTTGTCAGCAGAAGAAGAAATCAAGCAGATCAGATAAAGAAAGCCCAAGGAGTCTGAAAATATGCATTCCCAAAAGATGAAGATAAAAAACACAATGGATTCCATAAAAAACAAAGACTGGATGGACGCAGCATAGAAACAGGGATGATACACTTAAACATGTTGGTTCAGCAGGTCCTGGTCCTGAACCCAGACCATTCACATTACAAATAGCAGGTTGCTGGACAGCTTGCTAAAGATTTCTGGCTCCTCTGTGACTCTGGGTGTGAGTGTGTTGTTGCCTACCTTGGTCTTGGTCATGTCCAGCAAACCCACAGAGTAGCGGTCACAGTTGAGGAAAGCTCGGACTGTGTACAAGGCTTTGTGGAACTGCCTCTCGATGTCTGTCATCTCCTCAAACACCTTGCTGGCTGACCACAGCAACACCTGGACAGCAAAATCAAACGGAAACATTGAACGAAGGACAACCACGCACTCATCTCTGCTGCTTCTCTTCCTTCTAATGTCTGGCGCTTTTTTTTGTTCATCACCACTAAAGAAAGTGGCTTTGCATAGATCTATCCTTACCTGTCCTCTCCTGGTCTCACAGTTGTGTAGGTAGCTCAGGTGGAAAACTCTCAGTGCCAGGTTAGCAAAGTTCAGATATTTGTTCAGGGTCTGGGAGAGAGTAGAACATGAGTGGTGAGGATTTTGAAATGCACACTCTTACATCTCAAGTAATTAATTTGCAGACTTGGAGCTTGTGTCCATGTTTTAATGAAGAGCTATAATAATCCTAATCCAGGACACACAGTTCTGATGAGTTGCTGTCAAGAAACTTGCAGAAACACCTCGTTTTTATCTTCAAATGCAATGTTTAAACGGTCCCTGTTAGTTATGACAAAAAGATGCCTCATTATGTCTCTCCTGATATGCATCATGTTTGGAGCAGCAAAAAAACCCCCAAAATTAAGCAAAAATTGACTTAAGGATAAAAAAATCACAAAGACTGCACCAAAGAGTAAAACAGTGAAATGTGCATTATTAGGTCTCTCTGTTAATAAATGGTTTTGTAATTGATCAACAAACGGATTTACTGTGCCTTACAGAAACCTGGTTACAGCAGGATGATTGTTAGTTTAAATGAATCAACACCCCTGAGTAATAGTAACTATCAGAATCCTCGAAGGCCGAGGAGGAGTGGCAGCAATCTTTCACTCCAGCTTATCAATCAACCAAAGACCCAGGCAGACTTTTAATTAATTCCACACTAGCTGCAAAACTCAAAAAACAATTTTACTTGTTGTTTCTGTTTCTAATTTCTACTTCTTTGACTTTTTATCTAAATGAAGTATATGCAAACCTTCGGTCCGACTTGGTCACCTTACAGATCTTACAGCTCTTCATGATGCAAAATTAGTCCTGAATGCTAACAAAACCAAAGTAATGTTGTTTTCCCATAAGTGAAGCTCCGAACATCAACTCAGGAAAGTGATACCATAGAGCTTGTTGACTCATACAAATGTCTTTGTATTTGATAAGGATCTCAAATTACATACTTGATAAAAAACCTCAATGGACTTTACAGTTTTTTTATAGATTAAAATCGTGTTTCTCTATTGCAACTTGCGTTAAGCTTGTTTTTATCGCTGTTGGATTAAGCGATGCTGTCTATCGATTTGCCTGTCCCATTATCTTAGCTCAATTAGACCCCATTACTGTGCTGCCCTAAGATATATAACAGGCTCACACTTCATGACTCATCACTGCACTTTGTATAGCCTTGCTGGATTTACTTCACTCAATAATCGAATAATGAAGCATTGGTATATTTTTATATACACAACCATTTTAAGAAAATTGCCATCATATATCTACAACAAGTTCATTACCCTCCAGAACACCTACAATCTCAGAGCCAGGAGCTGGCTGCGGTTTAAAGTAGAACTTGTGAGCACAGAGCCAGGAATGTCAAGTTTGTCTTATTTCGGCGTGTGGTCTTGGAATTATCTGCAGCTCAGGATGAGGTTGGAATTTCTTATCCCTTTATCTAGTTTTAAACAAAAACTGACAGAGGTCCTAGTCACCAACTGTACCCGTAAAATTTTAATGGCTTGAATTCGAAACTGTTTTAAATGTTGTAATGAATTTGATATATTTTACTGCTTCATATTTAGTGGTCAATGTGATCATTTCATACATTGTTGCAGTTGTATATAAACTGGCTTGTTTTGCACTTTACACACTGCTGCTTCTTAGAAGCGATTCAGGGGAAGTGTGAACATCAGATGGGTTTCATTCATACACCACCACAAAAACAGCCGCCTCATGAGTTTCCTGTCACTTTATTATTCAGTTACACACAGTTTTTCAGTCTGTTGATGGTTTTCTGATAAATCTGCTGTGTCACAGTTAAACTACATGATGTATCGTTCACATCGGTGGCACCACAAGAATGCGGTTAGATCCGAGTGGAGCGTGGTTTGGGGTTAGGGGGACGCAGCTGGCTCAACAGCCACCGTGAATTGTTCCTGGTGTGTTTGAATGTGAGTCTGTGTGATCCAGAGTTTTGAATTTTCTAATTAGTTTTTATTTTTATTCCATTTTGACTTTTTGTTTTACTTCAGTTTAGAGTCAAGAGTCAATGTTCTTGTTTCAGTTTAGGCTTTATCTGTTAGAGGCAGGGTTTATGAAAATCAGTGCCGCTGTTACAGTAACACTTTTTGAAAACAGCGACTCTCTGTCTTGTACCAAAACTGAGCATATTAACTCTATAAGCTTATTTTCATTGTTTTTAGTTTTAGTGAACTATAATAAGTTTGGTCTCGAATGCTGCAGCTGACCATGTGATGTCTGATTGAGCCAATGGACAGTGAGGAGGACACATCATCAAAAGCAGGTGGAGTATGTCCATCCAACAATAACCATACCTGATGTAGTCAGGACCTCTGGAGTTCATGTGAGTCAAAGTTTCATGTTTTTCTGGTTACGTCTGTAACATCTGTAACTTCGACTCCTTGTGTTTGTGATTGGTCTTTAATGAAGATCATTTTATTGGGGATTATTCTGGAGGTACGCTCGATAGTGTTCATTACCAGTTCTGTCTGGTTTCTTCCACATTAACACTCAGTCTAGTCCTGTTGCCAGGTTTTCTTTTAGTCCGGGTCTATCTGGCTCCAGTTCTGAGAAACTGACCCTACATGTTACTTGTTAAGACAAAAGGGGATGCAGCTACCTAAATATCACTGACAGCACGAGACAAAGCGGAAGAAGAAAGTCTGCTGAGGGACAGGCGCTGTTACAGGTTACCTCTTCATCCTTGGCAGTGAAGCACGGGCCATCCAGCTTGTTAACAGCCATCATGACAGCCACCATGTCTTTACCGTTCATGATCGGGACGGCGAGGACATTCTTCGTCACGTACTCGGTCAGCTCATCCACAAAGCTGCTGAAGTGTGTGCTCTAGGAGGAGAGAGAAGAGGCAGAGTGGATATTTCACTGTATCTAATTATCATTGCTTTCTCGCTGCACTTTTCAAAACTCCCAGAGCTGCTTTGATGAACGCTCTGATGATATCCATAAATGCTGTAAGTGAAGCCTCTCCGTTATCCTCAGATGCCACGCGCTCTCAGCTGCGCTCCATCTATGCTTCATTTATGCTTCTTCCTGAGCAGCAGGGGTCCTCAATTGTTCCTCTGAGGGTGTAACACAGGAAAAGCAGCTCATTAGCTGCCAAGCTAATCATATGATTGTTGGGTTTTTCTCTGTATCTACGAAGCGCCTTGAGGCGACTTTTGTTGTGATTTGGCGCTATATAAATAACATTGAATTGAATTGAATTGAATTGAAGAAGGAACAAAGACCTGCACAGGGACCCATTTGGCTATGACGAGGTCTCTGACTTTTTCTGGATGTTACCTGAGTGAGGCAGGAAAGGGATCAGAGCGCATGCAGATGTTTAAGAGGAAATATGGAGAAAGTTTGATACTTGTCTGCTTTCTGCTGAAAATACACTTGAAATCCACCCATCCATCTTCTAGAACAGGGGTGGTCAACTCCCGGCCTCGAGGGCCGGTGTCCTGCAGGTTTTGGATCTCACCCTGGGTCAGCACACCTGAATCAAACGATTAGTTCATCTGGAGAACTTCAAGACATGCTGAGGAGGTCATTTAGCCATTTAAATCAGCTGACATGTCTAAAATGTGCAGGATCCTAGAGGCCTGGAGTTGCCCACCCCTGCTCTCAAACAACCAAGTGCAGTAGGATATAAAATCAGGTGTGACAGTTAAAACTGAATAGATGCTGAAGCTGAAAACCATGTGAAACCCTTCTTCTCCCCTAAAAACACAGCGTGGAGTTTTCTTATCCAAACACTTCCACTGCAAACTGAAACGTCCTCAGGTGCATTCGCTGTTTTGATTCTAAAAGAAGGGCACAGAAACCCTGCTGTGGCTGATCCTGGATCAGCTGCTTCATCTGCTGCCTGACAAACAAACCCACTGCACAGATAGGGCACTTTGCCAGCTTGTTATTATGTGACCTTTGACCCTCTTAAGCTCGCAGAGCTCATCACCCTGCACATGGATCATTTACCCATTTTTAGATGGAGACACAGTATCGTTTACGCAGCTCTTACACAGTTGCTCTTCCAGTGTGGCTCTTCATTCCAGAGCACACACACCTGAAAGTACAGCTCTGCAGGTGTGATAAAAGGTGTGCGATAGTGCTGAGTCTGTGGAAGCAGCGGCCTGTGTGACCTCTGCGACTAATCTGGGATTGCTATTATTCAGGACAGATTAACCTGTTTATGTGGAGCCTGTCCACCTCCCTCCCTCACACACACTGATAAATAACAGGGTACCACTCTGAATATAATTGCGTTATTCTCGGTCTCACTTTGAAGGAAGAAGATGATGAATCGAGAGTCTTGCCTGATTGGCTGACCTGCAGTTAACTGGGTCGGGATGGAACCAGTGAGCACAAAGGCAGCAATGCCAGTCCCTGCATTTCCTACAGAGCCACCCCGTGTGCGTTAACATCACAAAGCCAACCTGTTATCTGGAAACACTCGCCAGTCCTTGGCTGGGTGGGGGGGGGGAGAGGAACTGAGGCTCTGATTGCTCCTGTCACACTGTCATGTGTTTGTGTGAAGCTGAACACCGTTTCACAATGAAGAGCCAACAGGCTGCTGGGAGCACAACTGCTGCAAGTAAACTGGGCACAATGAGCTTGAGCCCACTTTGTTCCTCCGTCAGCAGCACAGCCTTCTGAGGTCAGTGAAAGGATGCGGTGGAAGTGATACAGAGGAGCGCCTGTGTAATGTGGGCCGCTGCCCTACGTGGCGTGAATGTCTCAAAAAGAGCTGCCAGAGCGGGCGGACCTGCAGGAGCATGATGCGGACGCGAGAAAATGCTGGCCAGCTATTTTTAAATGTCAGAGGTATTGGCTGTAATGAGATTGAGAGGAATTAGCAGCATAAACAGCATGGAGTCATGTCACCCTCTGGTGGACACACCGAAGCCGAACGGCTCTGATAGATAATGAAACGGGTCATAAAAGCATCAGAAACACAGATGACTGCAAACATTCAGGGAACCTCGAGGCTCCTGTCTGTTAGTGATGTGTCGGTCGCGAACGAAATGGTTCTTAGAGCCGGATCTTTGATGTGAACAACGGGAGCCGGTGTTGTACCAAAAGTGATTGTCTGCCAAAAACTGATTTCCGGTATTTGCCAAAAACTGATTGCTCATATTTAAACTGCTATAATTAACTTGTTGGGCTATAATAAGTGAAACATATGTGAAATGCATCCCTCATGGATGACACAAAGTCATATTGAGCCACAAACAACATTTGTGTAACAAGGTAGAAGCTGCAATCAGTTTTTTGGCAGCGACTTTTATATAACCTTTATTTATGCAGTTAAAAAAATGTCATTAACATTAAAAATGTCTTTTGTAAGAGTAAGTTGGCCAAGAGGACAGCAGAAATGGCAGCAAATATTACAATAGTTCTGTAAAAATATTTTAAGTGGGGATAAAGGACTGGATTGGTTATAATGTAAGTACAATAACACAGAGTTGTAAAGATACTTGAAAAAACAGATAATTTTTTAATTCTATATATAACCCCTTTGTAAACGCTGTTCACCGAAGTCTATTTACCAACATACGTAAAGATATTACACATTAAAAATACACGGAAACATTGGAAATCAGTTTATTGCGAGCCGTGGTTTTTTTTTTCTTTCTCTCACCCTCTCTCTTGCACTTTTTTTCCGCTTCACTCCGCATGTACTCCCTTGTGCTTAACGCTGGGACGCGGTAGTTACACTCTCAGTAGCACAGGAACAGAGCAGGAGGGAAAGAGAGAGAAAGAGAGCCAGGGACAACAACGTCACATTAAAAAGGTATAGTAATCATCCACAACTATATTCAGTTGTGGATGATAAAGGATTCAGAAAGTTTATTCATGCAGGTCTATATGACAGAGAATATGCATGTTCTTTTTGTTTTCATATTTTAATTTATATTTAATTGTGTTGTGGTTTGCAGTGTTTTGTGTTGTTTCACTTTAAATTTGTTTAAAAGGAAAAAGCTGAAAATTTAAATAGTTAAAAATTGAAATGTGAATAGTTGGTTTTTGTATCATATGATTTATTTATTACATTTTATGTGGAGTGAATAAATAAAAGTATATTTACGGTGGCCCCTACAGACAAAGCACGTACAAACTCCAAAACACGTAAAAACTCAAAACACGTACAAAAGTAAATGAATATTTTTTTTAAAATTATTTGATAATATATATGAGTACTTGTGTATAAATACACAAACAATACATATATGCTTTCAATTGTGTACGTGTTTTATCTCTAGGGGCCACCATAAATATTTATATATAAACATATATAAATAAAACCACTTTTTTTTACATTAGTAATTCTTTTTGTGCATAATTTTATATTATTGTTAATAAAAAATTAATTAAAGCAATAAAACAACCTGAAGAGCCGGTTCGGAGCCGAAAGAGCCGACTCTTTTCAGTGAGCCGAACCGAAAGAGCCGGTTCTTTAAAAAGAACCGGAAATCCCATCACTACTGTCTGTACTGACTGTCCACGCTGTAGTTTGCTGCTAAATTAACTGCTATTACTACAAATAACTGGAGTCATAACTGCATTAATTCCCTCTGTTTAAACCAGTCGTGAGTTCTTTGACATGCTTTCATAAAGTGAACGTGTATCTGAGAGGATTTCATCTTAGCTAAACAGCCACATGCTGCTTTTAGACTCTAGATGTTTTTGGGGTCTTATTACCTGTGACACGTCAGAAATGTTGACCATCTTTTTGCTGGTGGCCACGTGGCCCACGATGCCCATATCCAGCGGGTACACGATTTCACTGTCGGGTTGCACGAGGCACTCGTCAAAAATGGCGTCTTTATGAACGTTGAACAACCTGAAGGTAAATATGGAGACAGAAACGTGACCCAGGGTGAACAGGCCCTCTCTGACCTCACTAAGTGCTGGAAAGAAGCAAATCCCAGCGTGCTCCGTCACTGGTTCCTGAGGAGGAAGCGTGACCTCAGAGATAATAAACATGTCCAAGCTTCATGCTTACATTTAAAATCTTTCAATTGCCCCAGGGGGACAAATAAAGCTATCAGCATCGCTGCTACCTGCACTGCTTTCAGACACTGAAGTGGGTCTGCAATCACCTGGTGGCGAGCTCAGCGACGCCGTTCCTCTGCCGGTACATAAAGAGACTCATGCGATCCACCCGCAGCATGAAGCTGAGGTGCTTCATCAGCCTGAAAACGGACTTCTCCATGTTCAGGTTATCCTGGATGTCACGCACCAGGTCGATGAGGATCTCGCTCTCATCCACCATCGTCAGCTCGTGAAACGTGCTAATGTTTACTGCCGTCTTGCGGTTGGGATCCAGCAAGTCCGAGATGATCTTAGGCCGGAAGTTCATGTCGAAGTACTGCTTGGCAAACTGCGGGTTGGCATCGAGGAACTGCTCTGCTGCTGCTGCATCCACCATGATTACTGCTGACAGGGGGCAAAGCTGATTGGAGGAGAGCTTCCACGAAAGACAACAAGTAGCAGATGAGTTTAATGCTGAGAGAAATATAATTTCGTGCAGAAGAAGAAGAGAAACTGGATTTGTTTCTGGGCTGAAGCCAAAACAATGAGCTAAAAGATGCTGAAGGGTCTTTGTCTTTTCTCAGCATTTTACTCTCAGATATGATAAGAATACAGAATGTGGTGTGAAAAGCATCCCTGCTCTGCACATACTTTTATCAATCAAACCATAAAATAACATAACAATGTAAAAACAGTTAGCAAGAATAAGGCGGCTGTACCTGTGAAAGTCCTCCTGCTGTCTCCGGCTAATCCGTCTGTGCTGCAGATGTCTGAGAGGAGAGAAAGGATTACAGGGATGGTTTTAAATGGTCATGTGTGGACATAAGCCTGTGTCCAATTACATCTTGGGGATTATATGCCTTCCAATGTTCAACTTCTTTCTGTGTCTCAACAAAGCTCTGCTAACACTCGCTGATCTTCTTCAGGACCAGGAAAATTAATATTTCTCCAGTTTTTACCGTTTACTGGACGGTTTTTGGTTCATGCATCCAACCAAAGGCCTCATAACACACTTCATGAGTCAGCCACACGCACATTTAAACTACCACTCAGCATCGACTGACCAACGCACATAATTTCAGAATAACTTTGTGAGGTTCAGTTTTCAGTTTGAGCCTTGAAGGGCTGAATGTTCTCAAGTATTTTAGTGGAAAAAAACTCTCAATCGTCTCTTTCAGTGTAACCACATTCCTCTGAAACGCACTCAGACGTCAGTGTCTCAGCATAAAGAAGCAGTGTACGTATGACCTGACACACGTGCTGTGCCGGCACACGAAGTCCTCGGTGTCCTCACTTGTACAGAGCGTGGGCCTCTGAAGGACAGTCTAAGGTTAAAGGGGACGCGAGACCAACGAAGACAGGCCGGACACAAACTATGTGAGTAAGTCTGAGCGTGCTCAGATACACAGATTATATGACCCGTGTGGCATGCAGTGAGTGGAAAAGCTGGACAGTCAGGGACGTGTCTATCTTTCCATTTCTCTGATTTCTTATCAAATGTTCAAATTCACACTCGGTGTGCTGGAATGGAGAAACAGGTCCCTGAATCACCTGCGTGTACTGCAGGGCGTGTATGCACGTGTGCCACTTGTTCTGTCTGAGAACACGTCAGCGAGCTGACGGCGGAGGTGTGAGGTTTCTGAATGCTTTGTGTTGGGTATCATGTTTCCTCTCTGACCTCTGACTCTGAGGTGAGAATTTTGGGGACTTCATTTGTCTCCCCAAATTCTGCAGCTTTAACAGACAGCGAGTTTGAACTCTGAGTCTGCTTTAACTTTGCGATGCCCACCCAGTGTGGTCACGACACAACCCCCGTCAGCCTTACACAACTGAGGACAAAATGAAAAGAAAGAGCTGAACCAGGTTTGCTGTGAGTACAGTCATGATGACTGACAGACATCCATGTGTTTGTAATAAAAGCTTCCAGCTCTTCTGGCCTGACGACTGTAGGGTGATATTTTTCACTTATCCTTGGACTCCAGGCGATTAGTGCATGCCTCACACCCACAGACTGTAAATAACAATGCAAACTTCTTGAACTCATGCCAGATCAAATAGCTGTAAGAACCTGTAACAGGAGCTGTACTGCCCATCCCCACGTCTAGCGGGTCGAAACCTGAGATTCTGCCGTGTTTGAACCCAGGAGGACACGACTGTAAGAAAGAGGAACAGATTTTTAGGAGCTTCAGTTCACAGACCAACGAGACAAACGAAGTGGATCAGAATACTTTAATACCAAAGGAAATTCATTTGTCATTATTATGTAACAAAAAAACAAACAAAAAAAAAATTCCACTAGAAAACAGGGGCGGAGTCTAGTGATGTGTCAGAACAGTAGGAACCTGTAGATGAGTGCAGGTGAAGAAGCACAAACATCATTTCTACATGTTTCTGTGGGAGTGAAGAACATCCACACATGCTAAGTGTTTCCAGGGTTCATCGTCCTGCTGGAGCTCCATCTCAGCCTTTGGTCGCTGACAGTTCACCTGGCCGTGCTTCACCAGTATCCTGGCGCGAACACAGGTGTTAGTTTTGACCTTTTCTTTAAGAAAAGGTGAAGCTATTAGATCTGCTGCCCCCTCCTGATCGGGTCTCGGGACAGTCAGGCTCATCACTAACTTTGCGCATGTACGCAGCTCGTGTGACGTAACACGCTCCGTTCCACGCCATCACGCACGGAGTGGCGGCGGGGCGGAAAACAGATGCGCGGTGGGATCGGAGCGGACGGTGAGCGGCAGGGACGGCTCATATGGACTCGGTACCGGCACCGGGATCCAGCTCAGGTGAGTCCCCGCGCGCGTGAACTCCGCCTTGCTCACGGTGTGCCGCGGGTTCGCGTGCGTGCGGCAGCTCGCGCTCAGGTTTGTTCCTGTCCACGTTTACACTGTTTACAAAGGAGCCATTCACGCTGGTGTTCACACCGGCTCACCTGAGCCCCCACGGGAAGTGACAAGCCTTTGAAAACGGCGTCCTTGTTTCACCGTGACGCTCAGTAACGTTCTGCTCATCACACAACACAGTGCGCCGCCGTACTTCGTGACGTCACCGCAGTAGTCCGCTCGTGCCACGCTGTCACTCACACCGGCTGTCCAGGTGAGGCTGAGGCACGCGTGCACCTGGATCAGTCAGCGCAGGGAACACCGGGACCCTCCGTGCCTGCGCGTGCACACCGGCAGCGTGCACCACCTGTAACCCGATTACCACGTCACACCGTCAGATTCCGCTGCTGCTCACGGAGGGTGGAGGTGCTCAAAAGGCCTTCATCATGATGATGGTGGTGTTTGTGTGAGTGAGTGAGAGAGAGAGAGTGTGAGAAGGAGTGTACTACGTTTACAAATCTTTGTGGGGACCAACATCCTGGGGATAAAGTGTCCGTCCTCACGAGTTTGAAGGTATTTTTGACACTCAACATGTGGTTTTAGTGTCATTGCTACAGTTGTTGTTACGGTTATAGTTAGGTTCAGACTCAGGGTTAGAGTAAGCGGCTGGGGAAAGCATTATGTCAACTAGATGTCCCCGCAAAGATACGAAAACACGAATATGTGTGTGAGCGAGAGTGAGCATGTGTGTGGTGGGAAGCGGGGTAATTTTAGAGTTACCTCCATCATTACCAGTCAGAGGGCGATGGTTAATTATCGTGGTTTAATAATGTCACAAGATACCGATAACATTAAAAATAAGAGACAGATAACGATAAAAAAGAGTTAACCATTAAAAATAAAAGAGAGAAAACGACTTAAAAAAGAGAGATAACTAAAAAAATTAAATGGAGAGATAACGATTCAAAATAAAAGACAGATAACAACTAAAAAAATAATGATAAAAAAGAGTTAACGGTGAGAAATAAAAGAGAGATAATGATTACAAGTAAAAGGGAGATAATGATTATAAAAATAAATGAGAGATAACGCTAAATTCAGAGCAGCAGTGTCTGTAACATGCAGGAGGAATGTTGGATGGAACAGCCGCCATCGCTGTTGCCGTTTTCTCAGACTTTTGTCATCACTCCACTCTCTGGGTTCGGGTGGCGTTTGGGTGGTGACCCTAAACTCTGCAGCTTTTACTTGGAGCTGTTGACCCGTTGAGCAGAGGCAGATGTATTGGGGCGTGGTGTTCAGTTTGAAGAAGGGCTGTGACTCACAAGGACTGAAAACGCAGAAGTGTTTTATCTGTGCTGTGATGCAACATCAGAGGCAGGAAATCAGCAGAAAGTTATAAACGCGCACACACTGAGCTGATCTCAGTAACCTCTGACCTCACAGCTGGAACTGTGACCACATTCAGCACACACACATTATTAGAATGAGACATACTCTCGGGTAAAGGTACCGGTTGTATCTCAGGGATGTTGAAGTGTGTTTACACGGTGGGCTGGACCGGTGAAGCAGTCCTTTCTGTCTCAGTAATGACTGCACGTCTCATTCCTGACGCTTTCTTTTGGTAGCTCTTTCGCCAAACTGTTCTAGATTAGCCCAAGGTTTCAATAAATCAGAAAATCTTTACCTATAACTGGCAGGCGGTGCTAGGGGCGTGCTCTCTTTACACAGAATGCATCTTTAAAATCCTTGATGCTGGTTTCACCAACTGGTATTCCAGGAAAGTGCAGTCCAGCGTTTGGCTAACGTCAGCGGCTCACAGCTCCTGTAGCTTTTAAACAAGTCCATCAAATTCCCCGACCACTTCGGGGGCTGTTACAGTCAGTGGTTTGAGGTGAAGCTGAGAAGAATAATGACTTTTTTCTCAACCTGAACACAGATAAAGGCTCAGCCATGCTTCATGGGGAGGACAGCTGTCCGGCAGTAGAAGAGGGTGGTGAGGAGGACCAGCACCGGCCTCTTATCCTGGAAAGAATTGAGAAGGAAACGGGAAGAACCTGGAGAACGGTTTTGTCTCAGCGGCTCAGGAAGCACTGCTCCTGCACGCCAGAGAAGGCCAAATCCAGAATCCTCAGCTTCTTCCCGGTTCTCCAGTGGCTGCCGTGCTACAAGCTCAGGGACTGGATCCTGGGGGATGTTATGTCAGGAGTGATTGTTGGAATCCTATTGGTTCCCCAGTCCATAGCCTACTCCTTATTGGCCAACCAGGATCCGATATACGGCCTGTACACGTCTTTCTTCGCTTCCATCATCTACGCCCTCCTGGGCACTTCCAGGCACATCTCGGTGGGGATTTTCGGAGTGCTCTGTCTGCTCATTGGCCAGGTGGTGGACAGGGAGTTGGCCCTGGCGGGATACCTCCCAGAGAGCAGCCTGAGTGGAAATGACAGCAGTGTCCCGTTGGCTGGGAATGACAGTGGCGTGGTGGGATGTGACCGGAGCTGCTACGCGATTGCCGTGGGGGCCACAGTTACCTTTACTGCTGGGATTTACCAGGTAAGTGTGCAGGGGCACATGTGGGTTTTAATGACTGAGCATAGAACCACACTACCTTACTTCTGCTCATCTCTTTCAGGTGCTAATGGGCCTTCTGCAGGTGGGCTTTGTGTCTGTCTACCTGTCGGACTCCCTCCTCAGCGGCTTTGCTACAGGAGCCTCCTTGACCATCCTGACGTCTCAGGTCAAGTACATGCTGGGCCTGAAGATCCCCCGTCCTCAGGGCTGGTTCACTCTGTTTAAGACGTGGTACGGCCTGCTGAGCAACCTCTGGAACACCAACGTGTGTGACCTCATCACCAGTCTGGTGTGTTTGGCAGTACTCATACCTATGAAGGAGCTCAATGACCGCTTCAAGTCCAAGCTGAAGGTAAAAGTGTGGCGATGTAACACTCCAGTAAAACTAAAATTAAACCTCCTTTTGGCATCATCGGCCCTAAGGATGCTGTTGGTGGCTCACCTGGTCATTTTGTGAAATAAACTCATCTATTGGTTTGTTTCCTTACAGAACACATTTCCCTTTGTAAATTTATTATTTATTTATTATTATTTGTATAATTTTCCTTATTATACAAATATTCATTCTATGAACACAAAAAGCACCCTGTTTCTACCTGTGTGGTTTACTCTGTCCTCACCCTCACCTGTCCTTCTCTAGGCTCCGATCCCATTCGAGCTCTTTGTGGTGATAATTGCCACCCTCGCATCTCACTTTGGCCATTTCAACACCGAATACGGGTCGGGCGTGGCTGGGGCCATCCCCACAGGCTTCCTCCCTCCTCAAATGCCCATGTGGTCTCTGATCCCCAATGTGGCCGTTGACGCCTTCTCCATTGCCATTGTGGGATTCGCCATCACCATCTCACTGTCGGAGATGTTCGCCAAGAAGCACGGCTACACGGTGGATGCCAACCAGGAGATGTATGCCATCGGGTTCTGCAATATCCTGCCATCGTTCTTCCACTGCTTCACCACCAGCGCCGCGCTGACCAAAACCCTCGTCAAGGAGTCGACCGGGTGCCAGACGCAGCTGTCAGGGCTGATCAGCGCTCTCCTCCTGCTGCTGGTGCTTCTGGTGATCGCGCCGCTCTTCTATTCCCTCCAGAAGTAAGAAAAGCAGGACGTCAGTCTAACCTCTAAATGATTGCTAACTAGTCTTCTTGCAGACTGACCTCCTGATGAGGTCGTTCGAGTCTCGATCTTAAGTTTTAATCGGAACAGCTTTTATGGCTTGTGCCGTCTTTGCCCCATCACTCCTTCAGCGCTTCCATGCTGAGGACGTTGATGCAGTTAGAGGCCACAGCTGTGTGTAAGCTTCTGATAGGCTGCGGTGATCCTCACCTCTCTCCTCTCCTTTTTCTGCTCAGGTGTGTTCTTGCTGCCATCATCGTGGTGAACCTCCGTGGTGCTCTTCGAAAGTTCACCGACATTCCCTGCATGTGGCGTGCCAACCGCATTGACGCCTTCATCTGGCTGATCACCATGGCAACCTCAGCGCTGGTCAACACGGAGCTGGGGCTTCTTGTGGGGGTTTTGGTGTCGGCTTTCTGCGTCTTGGGCAGAACTCAGCGGGTCCAGGTCCTGGAGCTCGGCCGGGCTATGACCAGGGAGCATTACGAAGATCTGGCGTCCTACAAAGGCCTCCAAACGCACCCCGACGTGGCCATCTTTAGATATGAAGCGCCAATCTACTACGCCAACCAGAGCCTGTTTAAAAAGTCTCTGTACAGGTGTGTAGGACTTGACCCTGTGAAGGAGAAGAGCCGCCGTGTCAAGTTCCAGAACAGCAAACCGCAGGAAGAGGCTGCCGGAATCCCAACTAGCAAAATGGACGAGAAGGAGGCCGAAGCTCCTGCAGCCGTCACCCTGATGATGGACACAGCCTCCCGTTACTTACGCAGGATAGTGATCGACTGCAGCGCCGTCTTGTTCCTGGACACTGCCGGAGTGAATGCTCTAAAGGAGGTCCGCAAGGATTACGGAGAGCTGGGGGTGGCGGTGGAGTTGGCTCAGTGTAAGACCTCCGTGCTGGACACGCTGGAACGAGGAGGATACTACCGCAACCAAAAAGGAGGCGACGCAGGAGAGAACCACACGATCTTTTTCACTATCGAAGACGCCATCCGCCACGTCGAAAGCCGCAGCACTCCTAACGGAGACTATGATAAGTCCTAAAGAGACAACACGTCTATGTTTACATGTCTGCAGCGTGTGGCTGCACAGATGTGCCTTTGTAACATTTTTCTGAAGTCCTTCACCTCAGGTTTCTGCATCCAGACAGGTGATGAATCACCACAGTGTGAACGTCCATGTACAGATAACTCACCTGTGGACTGTATAAGAAGAACCAGCCACCCACGAGGAAGGAATACCCAGACCCTACCTGACAGCTCGAGTCTGTGTCTAAGGCAGACTCAGCAAGTTTACATCTGCATAGTACAAGTGCTGCACAGTGTAAAATACGTGTTTCATAATGCACAGTACTGCACAGTGAGTACAAGTACTGCACAGTGTGAAGTGTTTCCAACTGCACAGTACAAGTACTACACAGTGTGTAAAAGTCCTGAACAGTGTGAAATATGTTTCATAATGCACAGTACAAGTACTGCACTCTGTGTACAAGTACTGTACAGTGTGAAATATGTTTCATAATGCACAGTACTTCACAGTGTGTACAGCACAATATGATATGTGTTTTATACTGCAGAGTACAAGTACTGTACAGTGTGACACTGGTCATGCCCTAGTGTTGTTTATAGAAACGAGAGCCGTATTCTGACTTAATTTTTAGATACTGAGTCGGAACGATGCACGTGCACATGTTCAGGATGACGACTGGGGTTAGGATTTAAAATAGGTGTAAATGATTTAGTGGGTTTTTTTTTTTTTATAAGGTCTAAACTGGATTTTTTTGCCACAATCAAAAACGATCATAATCGTCTGCTGTTTGGTGTTTGGGTCCATCAGTCCAATCATGACTGATGCCTCAGGGCAGGAAGTTTAAAACACGTGTAGAAAAAAGCAGCAGCTCTGCTGCTCTGAGGAGAGACATCGGAGGTATCTAAATGCTTTAGATTTTTAGATCAGAACCCTGCTGGATAAAAACATAGATTCTTCATACGTGCTTAATAAGAAGTAGCCACCCTGTGCCTGAACATGAATATACGTGCAATGACCCGAGGAATCATTTGTCTGTTAGCACTGATCAAAGGTGCATGCATGTGCATGTGCTTCCAGATCCTCTGACAGACGAATATTCCTCCGGTGAGGATGAGAGACTTCCTGTTTAACTGTTAGCCGCAGTCATATGACCTTGGCCTGTGCCTTCTTTCTGTCAGTCGGGTAATGAATAAGGCAACGTTCAAGTTGAAGAAAAACAAAAGTGCAGTGTGAGATTTCGAGGTCGCTGTGATGTTGATTTGTGGGGGTCAGAGATCATGGGTTGTGCCTTAGTGAACTTGACCTCTGTGACCCCCCCCCC